ACTCAGAAAAATTGAAAAATTGATGAATCACCTCAAATTGCTTAACACGATTTTATCTCAGGAACTATAAGTGTAAATGAGCTGAAATTTGCAGGGATTGTAGTCCCTTGGAAGGGATAAAATTCAGTGAAAGTTTCAGCCTTCTATCTATAATAGAAAAAAAGTTGTGACCTTTCAAAGTTTTCCAAAATCTAAATCATAAGGTAGGTACCTTCTTACTAGAAGGATGAAATTTGAATTTTTTTTTATCGAGATTTTGTATCCTAATGGTCAATCAACATACCCCAAACTCCATACACTAAATTATTCTCAGATTTGAAGCCGAAATCTATGAAAAAAGGCACTCAGAAAAATTGAAAAATTGATAAATCACCCCAAATTGCTTAACACGATTTTATCTCAGGAATTATAAATGCAAATAAGCTGAAATTTTCAGGGATTGTAGTCCTTTGAAAGGGATAAAATTCAGTGAAAGTTTCAGCCTTCTATCTATAATAGAAAAAAAGTTGTGACCTTTCAAAGTTTTCCAAAATCTAAATCATAAGGTAGGTACCTTCTTACTAGAAGGATGAAATATGAATTTTTTTTTTATCGAGATTTTGTATCCTAATGGTCAATCAACATACCCCAAACTCCATACACTAAATTATTCTCAGATTTGAAGCCGAAATCTATGAAAAAAGGCACTCAGAAAAATTGAAAAATTGATGAATCACCTCAAATTGCTTAACACGATTTTATCTCAGGAACTATAAGTGTAAATGAGCTGAAATTTGCAGGGATTGTAGTCCCTTGGAAGGGATAAAATTCAGTGAAAGTTTCAGCCTTCTATCTATAATAGAAAAAAAGTTGTGACCTTTCAAAGTTTTCCAAAATCTAAATCATAAGGTAGGTACCTTCTTACTAGAAGGATGAAATTTGAATTTTTTTTTATCGAGATTTTGTATCCTAATGGGTCAATCAACATACCCCAAACTCCATACACTAAATTATTCTCAGATTTGAAGCCGAAATCTATGAAAAAAGGCACTCAGAAAAATTGAAAAATTGATAAATCACCCCAAATTGCTTAACACGATTTTATCTCAGGAATTATAAATGCAAATAAGCTGAAATTTTCAGGGATTGTAGTCCTTTGAAAGGGATAAAATTCAGTGAAAGTTTCAGCCTTCTATCTATAATAGAAAAAAAGTTGTGACCTTTCAAAGTTTTCCAAAATCTAAATCATAAGGTAGGTACCTTCTTACTAGAAGGATGAAATCTGAAATTTTTTTTTATCGAGATTTTGTATCCTAACGGTCAATCAACATACCCCAAACTCCAAACACCAAATTATTCCCAGATTTGAAGCCGAAATCTATGAAAAAAGGCACTCAGAAAAATTGAAAAATTGATAAATCACCCCAAATTGCTTAACACGATTTTATCTCAGGAATTATAAATGCAAATAAGCTGAAATTTTCAGGGATTGTAGTCCTTTGAAAGGGATAAAATTCAGTGAAAGTTTCAGCCTTCTATCTATAATAGAAAAAAAGTTGTGACCTTTCAAAGTTTTCCAAAATCTAAATCATAAGGTAGGTACCTTCTTACTAGAAGGATGAAATTTGAATTTTTTTTTTATCGAGATTTTGTATCCTAATGGTCAATCAACATACCCCAAACTCCATACACTAAATTATTCTCAGATTTGAAGCCGAAATCTATGAAAAAAGGCACTCAGAAAAATTGAAAAATTGATGAATCACCTCAAATTGCTTAACACGATTTTATCTCAGGAACTATAAGTGTAAATGAGCTGAAATTTGCAGGGATTGTAGTCCCTTGGAAGGGATAAAATTCAGTGAAAGTTTCAGCCTTCTATCTATAATAGAAAAAAAGTTGTGACCTTTCAAAGTTTTCCAAAATCTAAATCATAAGGTAGGTACCTTCTTACTAGAAGGATGAAATTTGAATTTTTTTTTATCGAGATTTTGTATCCTAATGGTCAATCAACATACCCCAAACTCCATACACTAAATTATTCTCAGATTTGAAGCCGAAATCTATGAAAAAAGGCACTCAGAAAAATTGAAAAATTGATAAATCACCCCAAATTGCTTAACACGATTTTATCTCAGGAATTATAAATGCAAATAAGCTGAAATTTTCAGGGATTGTAGTCCTTTGAAAGGGATAAAATTCAGTGAAAGTTTCAGCCTTCTATCTATAATAGAAAAAAAGTTGTGACCTTTCAAAGTTTTCCAAAATCTAAATCATAAGGTAGGTACCTTCTTACTAGAAGGATGAAATCTGAAATTTTTTTTTATCGAGATTTTGTATCCTAACGGTCAATCAACATACCCCAAACTCCATACACTAAATTATTCCTAGATTTGAAGCCGAAATCTATGAAAAAAGGCACTCAGAAAAATTGAAAAATTGATAAATCACCCCAAATTGCTTAACACGATTTTATCTCAGGAACTATAAGTGTAAATGAGCTGAAATTTGCAGGGATTGTAGTCCCTTGGAAGGGATAAAATTCAGTGAAAGTTTCAGCTTTTTATCTGTAATAGAAAAAAAGTTATGACCTTTCAAAGTTTTCCAAAATCTAAATCATAAGGTACCTTCTTACTAAAACGATGAAATTTGAAATTTTTTTTTATCGAGATTTTGTATCCTAATGGTCAATCAACATACCCCAAACTCCATACACTAAATTATTCCTAGATTTGAAGCCGAAATCTATGAAAAAAGGCACTCAGAAAAATTGAAAAATTGATAAATCACCCCAAATTGCTTAACACGATTTTATCTCAGGAACTATAAATGCAAATGAGCTGAAATTTTCAGGGATTGTAGTCCTTTGAAAGGGATAAAATTCAGTGAAAGTTTCAGCTTTCTATCTATAATAGAAAAAAGTTATGACTTTTCAAAGTTTTCCAAAATCTAAATCATAAGGTAGGTACCTTATTACTAAAACGATGAAATTTTAAAAAAAAAATTATCGAGATTTTTTATCCTAATGGTCAATCAACACACTCCAAACTCCATACACTAAATAATTCCCAGATTTGAAGCCGAAATCTATGAAAAAAGGCACTCAAAAAAATTGAAAAATTGATAAATCACCCCAAATTGCTTAACACGATTTTATCTCAGGAATTATAAGTACAAATGAGCTGAAATTTTCAGGGATTGTAGTCCTTTGAAAGGGATAAAATTCAGTGAAAGTTTCAGCTTTTTATCTGTAATAGAAAAAAAGTTATGACCTTTCAAAGTTTTCCAAAATCTAAATCATAAGGTAGGTAGGTACCTTCTTACCGAGCTTATTACTGAAACGAAATGTAACTTCTTTCTAAAACGATCAATTTTTTTTTTGTCAAGATTTTGTATCCTAATGGTCAATCAACATACATCTTCTTATGGCATTTCTGACCGCGATCAAATTTAACCAAATTTTTAGTATGTTATAGATAATAATATCACCTTTCTGATCAATAACTACCATGGGCACAACTTAATCCTATCATAAGTTTTTGAGATATAGGTAGTTTAATGTCCAAGAAATGCACACTTTTCATATGCATTTACATCTACGTGTTACCTAATAATACCAGGATGGAAAAGTATCCTCATGCTCAGGCGACAGGTAGATATAAATGCATATGAAATGTGTTGGACATTAAACTACCTGTATCTCAAAAATTAGTCATATGATTAAGTTGTGCCTGGGGCCTGTTTAATAAAAAATATTAGTCTAATAATATTACTCTTTAGCAAGTATTATAAGTCAAAATTATATTATCAATATCATAATTTTGACTTATAATATTGACTTAAGAGTAATATTATTAGACTAATATTTTTTATGAAACAGGCCCCAGGGTAGTTATTGATCTATGGTGAGATCTATAATATACTTAAACTTTAAACTTGGTTAAATCTGACCGCGTTCAGAAATCCCATAAGAAGTGTGCGGGGTCCTTTGATTTTTCCAAAATGACATAGATACACATTTTGCCAATACAACTTTGTTAATTTTAATCGGATCTTGATGCAGTGAGGCTCAAATTGAAGCCAATTATATCCTCTACAAATATATAGTAATAGTGTCAATGCAGCTTCAATAGTTTCGCAGCTACTTAGCTCAAAAGTCTTTTAACATTGGTTTTTATGAACATGAGCAAGCAGAAAGAAATTCCAATTTTTTTTCTTGAATTTCAATCTTTTCTCTACCCATTTGCAAAATTTCAATCCAATCCCTTCAATAATTTCCTCAAAAACAAAATAAAACGTCAAAATGATATGGACAAACATTTTGCCATATAACTTTGGTAATTTCAATCGGATCTTGATGCAATTAGGCTCAAATTGAAACCAATTAAATTCTCTACCAACGCGCAGTAATAATTCCAATATAGCTTCAATAGTTTCGCAGCTGCGCAGCTTGAAAGTTTGTTGACATTGATTTATATCAACATGAGCAAGGAAAAATAAATTTTAATTTTTTTTCTTGAATTTCAATCTTTCCTCTACCCATTTGCAAAATTTCAATCCAATCTCTGCAATACTTTCCTCAAAAAAACAGAACATCTTTCAATATTATGTTTTTGAAATTTGATTTTTCCCAAAATGACATAGATACACATTTTGCCTTACAACTTTGTTAATTTCAATCAGATCTTAATGTAGTTAGGCTCAAATTAAGGCCAAGTAAATTCTCCACAAATCTACAGTTATAAGTTTCCATAAAGCTTCAACAAAGCAGAGTGGCACAAGAATAAAACTCTTCATTCCTAAATTTTGATTTCTGGATTTCTACTCAATGAACAAGCAATTCTAGATAAATTAAAACATGGGGTGATTGAAAGTTAGTTGTTACCAATTATTCCTAACATCTTCATTGGAATGAAGATAAAATTCCTTAAAAAAGGGGTATCAACTTTTGTAAGAATTGTACCACTTCATAAGCTTTTTTACTGTAGTTTGCCCCTTAACAACCAAAAATATTCATTTACCTGACAAGTCGTATTCTCAGTGACCCCGCAAACGATCCTCTGGATACCCTCCACCCAAACTTTCAGTTCCATTGCTCAGGATTGGGGCTGTGGGGGCCCCATATAGAAAACGGTGTTTTCCCTCTTTCAGTGAATTTTCATGAATTCAATATGTGTGAGGAGTGGTCACGTAACATTTTCCTGGTCGAATTATTAATGGAATTTATTGGAAAATTTAGTTTTTTTTTTTGATAAATAAATAAATTATTTATGGAATGTTGTTTGTTGACGTATTGAACCAGTTATAAACTTTTGATGCTCATAGATGGCGCTAAAGAGAGTTACCGTTTTTGTTTGTTTGGTGTTGCTCTAAACTGCACTATGCCATAGAACAATAATTTATTTACACTAAAAAACTATACCCGAACAGTTGGAGTAAGTAGAGAGTACACAAAGTGGAGAGTGCATAGAATGAGCAAGCCAAACGACCTAGAATCGTATAAAAATAAAATGGAACACTTTTTTTCTAGTTATCGAACGTGCCCCGAATATAGGTCAATCTACAACCAACTCTGACACATGACTTTGACATGTTTTGAATTATTGAATGAAATGAAGATTTTCAATTTTCCAAAAAAATTGTCGCCGAGTTGAAAATCAAAATTTAGGGGCTCTGGATTTAGTTCTGGATTAAAAAGGGGCGTAATGTACCAGAACACCTGCGGAGCAGCGGCCGCAGGCGCGGGAGTGTGCACCGAAACCGACAAAGATTATCACAGTTTGATATCGAAGGAGCCCCAGGTGCCCCAAATCGAGAACGACTATAGCGGTTTCGATGTGGTTAAAGCGACTCAGGTAAGAAATTGCGTTTCTTGTTTGTTTATCAAGGAAAGAATTTATCAATTTATTAAATCAATAAGTAACTGACTGCATAATCTTATCAAGTTACAAGAGTTTCAACAGCAAAGTTGAAAGTTCAAATATGAATTGGTAACTATAAAGTTAGGAAGACTTCCTCAACTTGAAGTATCCAGATGAGAAATGTTATTCAGAATTCAGGTGTACTTGAAAATTGCTCAATATATGCAGTGATAGTGTTATCTTTTCAAATTTGAATTATCAGTACAAAACATGTTTTTCACACAAATTTTTCTAATATAAAGTTATTGAACCATTAACCATCAACCTTACCCAACACACCTGAGTAAAAAACTTTGCCTTTGGTAAACTTATTTTGCATTATTTTTGGAACTATAAGTCCAAATGAGCTGAAATTTTCAGGGATTGTAAGTCCTCTACTGGGATAAAAATCGCAGAAAATTTCAGCTTTCTACCTCCAATAGAGAAAAATGTGGTAATTGTTTAGTATTTCCCCAACACCCAATTTGGACTAAATATTGTACAATATGATTAAATTAGTGTCTAAATAGATAATTTATACTAAAATAATTTAGCGCAAATGATTTATAGATCTAAAAAAAAAAACGTTTATATAAAATATACGTTGGGGATTTATTAAATTACTACCCCTAACTAAATATTTAATATACCTATCCCCAACACCTTACATTGATATGATTTCGAAGCATAGCACGCATTACTTGGACAGGTTAATTTGGGTTAGTTTGCATCAGTTTGATTAACGGGCTAGCTCATCAAGAGAATCTTTACTGTTAGAGATAGAGCTCAGTGAAGAAATGTTTACAATTCAAAATAGGTATCATAAAAAATGGTTAACAGCAATTGTTACATAAAGTCATAGTGAGCTTTGTATACTGACGTTGCCTGACGCTGTTTAAAGCAATTTGACATCAGCACGACATCAGTTTGTGGTTTCTATGCAGTTTGTTTGTATTTAAATTTTTGAAAATTATGGCTTGTGTATGTGTAGGTTGTAATTTAAATCTAAGAGATTTTGTGAGATTGCAATCAAATAATTTAAATTACATTAATTTTCTGGTGAATCATGGTTTGATTAAGGGTGAAATACCCTGTGAAAAATGTGGAGGTGTTGCTAAACTAAACATTGTACGATTTACTCATCGATGCACTCAAAGGTGGGTTCTGTGTGTTTGTTTCATGCTTTATTATTATTTGCATTATTAACATTTTAGTGTTAAGACGGTGAAAAAGAAAGGCAGTATTCCTTGTTCTTTTGAAAAAACTGCAAAGAAAAACACTTGGCTTGACAAAAGTAAATTGAGTGTTCAAGATGTTGGCTACTTCACGACTCTTTGGTGTATTTTGCCCCATCCACGACAAAAGATTATAATGAATGAAATTAAATGTAGTACAAGAACGGCTGTGGATTGGGCTTCTTTTTGTAGGGAAGTTTGTTTACGGTGGTGTACAGAAAAATCTGAAAAACTGGGTGGACCTGGATGTGTAGTTGAGATAGACGAAGCTAAATTCGGAAAAAGAAAATATAATCGAGGCAGAGTTTTAGAGGGACAATGGGTGTTTGGTGGCTTTGAGAGAAACTCAAAAAATATATTTTTAGTACCTGTGGCTAAAAGAGATGCAGATACCCTATTAAAAATTATTAAAGAATGGATTTTGCCACATACAACCATTGTTAGTGACGAAGAATTTCAACATTTCACGGTAAATCATTCGATTGAGTTTATTTCTGCGACCGACCCAAGGATTCATACTCAAAATATCGAGAGAACTTGGAGGGATGTTAGAGGTGGAATACCTCGATACGGCCGCAAAAATTCGCATTTTATGTGGTATCTGGCGGAATTTATATTTAAAAGGAAATTTAGACTTGAAGATCGCTTACATCATTTTTTTAAAATGGTATCCGATGTATATATACCTTAAATGTGACTTAGCTCCGGTTCAAAAGGGCGATATTTGAAATAGCGACATCAAAAACGCAGCATTTCATTAAAGCGGCTTATCAGAATAGCGACATTCAAAATGGTTATGTCACTACAAGGCATAGCTGATAATAAAAATACCCAAAAATACTGCAAATTTTGCAAAAAAAAAGTTGTTTCATCGTTGGATTGTGGTGTCTGCAAGACCAGCTTTCACCCCAGTTGTGGGATACAGGCGGGGGTTGCTGATAGCGGTAACAAAGTTACTTGTTGCAAAACGCTCGACAAAAGTGAGGCTAGAAACATCATGGACGAAAAACAAATGAAAGCCCTGCTCGAAAAAACGTTCAAAAACCACTTTGAACCTTTCAAAAATACTATGCAGAAAGAAATAAGTGAAATAAAAAAATCCATGCAGTTTTTATCAGATAGTTTTGAAGAACAAAAAAAACAGATCCAAACAACAGTTGAAGAAATCAAGCACCTTAAGAAGGAAAATAACGAACTGAAGGAAAAGGTGGACTCAATGGAAGAAAGGATCAATGAAATTGAACAGAGAGAAAAGGAGAAAAATATCGTTATATCTGGTATACCCAAGCAAGAAGAACTGGTGAGCGAAACAATGAAAAAGGTCTTTAAAGCTCTAAAAGTGCCTATACATGAAGGTGATGCCCAGGAAATTTTCCGATTAAACAAAAACGAAGGCGCGCCCATATTACTAAAACTCAGAAGCACAACAATAAAACACGAATTGATGTCAAAAATAAGGCAACTGAAGGGACTTAAGCTGAACGAATGTGGCTTGACCGGAGGTCCAAAGAACATATATTTTAATGAGGACTTAACACGTCAGAATCAGATGCTTTTTAAAAGGGTAAGGGACACAAAAAAGGAAAAGAATTATTACAAAGCGTATGTCTTAAATGGAAAAGTATTTCTCAAAAAAAATGAAAATGACAGACCAGTAAGGATTAAAAATGAGAACGATATAGAGCAGTTATAAATAAAAGATATGTAAATACAATGTAAATAATAAAAAATATTTATTCATTTAAAATGGAGACTGAAAACCTGACTGAAAAAATGGAGCAAAAACTAAATGTTCTATATATCAATATAAGAAGCGTTAGAAATAAACTAAATGATATTAATGATGTTATACTAGCACACAAAAAAATTATACATTTGATAGTCCTAACAGAAACTTGGATCTACCCAAACGAGAAAGACTGTTTTAAATTAAATAACTACACTGCACTACATGATTGCAGAGATACACGTGGTGGGGGATGTAGTATCTACATACGTGAAGATCTACATTATGTCCAAAGCAACAAGCATAAAATACAAATTGAAGATTGCAATATCGTATTTCTCTACCTACCAAAACAAAAGCTCTCCGTAATAGCTATATATAGACCCCCACATAGCAACTGTGAATTTTTCTCAAACAAACTTGACACAATACTGGAACAACAAAAAAATGAGTGCATAATAATAGGAGACATGAACTTAGATTTATTGAAGCAATCACAAACTATCAATAACTACCAAAACATTATACAAATGAATGGATTTAAGTTCCAGAATGAAGTGCTGCAACAAAATGCAACTAGGGTGACTAGCAATACAGCATCTATCCTGGACCATATAATAACAAATCAAAATTTAGCCTGCACTATTAAACTACAGGACAGTGACCTATCGGACCACAAAGTTATGTACATAGAAATTAAAAAAGCAATATATTTAAAGAAAAAAGAAAAAGTAAAACGAAGTTTTTTAATGGAAAATAAATGGCTAAATCATATGCAGGAAAAAATAGAACAACATCAAATAACAACTTTTCAACAACTAGCTGAAATCATAAATACCTCAAAAAATGAATGCACGAAAGAATACAGTATAAAAATAAAACAAAACAATTATTGGATAACAAACAATTACCTATCTAAGCTCAAGGAGAAGGACGCACTGTATGTTAGGTGGAAACGAATTAAAAATGAATATTGTGAAACGGAGTTTAAAAAAGCCAAAAACCAACTAAACAACCTTAGAAAAAAACTGCAGAAACAGTATGCAGAAAGACGGTTTAATGAAGCAACGGGCAACGCAAAGAAGACCTGGGCAGTACTAAATGAAATATGTAATACCAATAAAAATAATAAAAAAAAAATACATCAAATAATCAACTCTAGTGGAAAGTTAGTTAAAAATAACAAAGAAATGGCTCAAGAATTCAATACGCATTTTTCCAAAATAGGAGATACTTTAGCAGACAAAATAAAACAAAATTCAAAAACTCTTTTCAACGAGGAGGAAGTTGAGGAAAGCATAATTCTTGAACCAACAACCCTTACAGAAATGAAAAAAACGATCAATACCTTAAAAAACAACTGTGCTCCAGGCATGGATGGTGTATTGAAAAAAGATTTGCAAACTCTATATTACATTATTGGAACAAAAATGGTAGAACTTGTTAATAACGTCCTGCAAACTGGAATTTACCCTGAAGAACTCAAAATTGCTAAAATCATCCCAATATTCAAAAAAGGCGAGCACGATAACATAAATAACTATAGGCCAATTTCACTACTCAGTACTTTTTCCAAAGTGTTAGAAAAAATTATCAAGACCCGATTAATAAATTTCATTGAAACAAATTTTAAGTTTGATAAACAGCAATATGGGTTTCAATGTAAAAGTAGCACACAAGGAGCAGCAGTGGATATGTTGGAATATGTTTCCAGTGAGTTGGACAAAAGCAAATATGTCATAACTGTGTTTGTCGACCTTCAAAAAGCCTTCGACACGGTTAATATAGAGTTAATGATGAGCAAACTATATAAAATGGGTTTCCGTGGACCATGCTATAACCTGCTAAAATCTTACTCTACTGGAAGAAAGCACTTTACAACAATAAATAGTGAGAGTAGTGAACAACTTAACTTGAATGTAGGAGTTGCCCAAGGGTCAGTGCTGGGGCCAATACTTTATTTACTGTATGTACATAGTTTGAAATATGCAAAC